ATAGGGGACAGGACGCAACCTTGGCAGAGACCAGTGCCAACGTTGAAGGGTTTCGACTTAACGCTATTTGCTCTGACGCAACATCAGTCATCACCATATAATGAATGGATGGTCCGTAATAACCGGCCATTGATCCGTATATTCGAAGGCATGCCCACAGACCTTTGCGTGGGATCCGGTCATAGGCTTTTTCTAGGTCCACAAAATACGTGTACACCGGATGGGCGTACTCCCACGATTTGTCAACAATCTGGCGCAGGGCAAATATATGGTCAGAGGTGCTTCGACCGGACCAGAAGCCACACTGCTCTTCTTGGATCTAGAGGTCAACTATTTCACGGCACCTCCTTTCTAGCACATTTGCGCATACTTTATTCGGGAGGCTCAATAACGTTATGCCCCTATAATTGGAGCATTCCTTGCGGTCCGCCTTCTTGAATACGGGTACAATAACTCGCGTTCTCCAGTCCGCTGGTGTCTTTCCCGCAATTCATTGCAGCTTCACAGGCACGCGTAAGCCAGCACAAGTCTTGTTCGCCTAATGCCTTCAGCATCTCAGGGCGGATTTCTTCAATTCCAGGAGCATTTCCATTTTTCAAGTTTTTCAAAGCTCGTGTAATTTCATCTACACAGAGAGTAATATCCGTACTCTTCTGCTCCACAGGCGAGTCTTCCTGCGGCTGCGCGGGGTTAAGAAGTTCCTCAAATTACTCCCTCCATCGCCGAAGAATGTCATCATCCTTGGTTGGAGGGTGTGCAGATCTGTCCTTCAAGACTCTGAGAGTGTCCGTTTTTTCACCTCGGAGCCGGCGGATGGTCTGCCAAAACACTTTGTTTGCCGTGTGGAAATTCGACTGCAACACCTCACCGAACTTCTTCCAGGAATCAGCCTTGGCTTTTGCCACTGCTTTTGCTGCCGCCTAACGGGCCTCGACATATCACACGCGAGTAGATGGCTCCTTGTTTCCAAGCCATTTCTTGAACGCTGTTTTCTTCTCTTTAACTGCCAGTTGTATCTTTCGTGTCCACCATGAAGATCTTTTCTGACCTCCAGGCGGCAGGCCAACCCGTTTATATCCGCAGCAT